AAAGTAACTAACTTAACGTTAACTAAGAATTACTAAGTAAAATAAAGTAAGTAAATAAACGTAACATGTCTCCTCTTACTTAGTTAGGTAAGTAACTAATAGTGTCGTACCTACGTATATATATATATATATATATATATATATATATGTATATTATTTTTTACAAAATTGCCCTTCGATATGAAGATGGCAACAATTGACGAAATTTTTTAAAAGTACCCAGGCAATCTGAAGCTAGAATCCTCGGACCGAGCATTCTCTGCTTTTTCTAGAAAAAATAGTGGTATGAGGATGAGAACCTCATACCACCTCCTAGACTGAGCGGAGCTCAATTGTAAGAGACCTCGGACCGGTCATTATTTTATAAAAAATAGCGATCTAGAAATAGGAACCTCGGACCGCTATTGTCTCAATTATATTTGTAAATTGCTGACAAATTTTTCTTATCATTCTCTAGGGATAAACTTCAAAGATGAAAGTAGGGGAAAAGGTAAGAGAGAGAGAGAGGGAGAGTTGTTACCGCTTGAGTTGAAGGCTTCAAGGAGGCAGAGTTGGGGGAGGGTTCGGGAGGGGCTCGGAGAGGGATTCGAAGAGAGAGAATGCTAGCCAATTATTTGAGCAATCCATTTTGGGCAGGGTTTGCTTTTGATTCTCCTTCTTTATGTTAGAGAGAGGGGTGTCTTGCGAAATGCTCCCGACTACTTATGGAGTTCAACATCACCTTCATGTCGTAGAAACCTATCAAAGGTCAGGCCCTTGCCGACTTTCTAGCCGTACATCCCTTACCGACAGATTCTCCCCTATTGAATGACCTCGCCCATGAAAAAGTCCTCTGTCCCAAAGCACCCTATCCCAAAGCACCCTATGACTGAAAAATGTACTTTGATGGTACATTTCAGTCCCATGAAAAAGTCCTCTGTCCCAAAGCACCCTATGACTGAAAAATGTACTTTGATGGTACATTTCAGCCAGAAATGAGGCGTTGCTGGGCTCGTATTATCTACTCCCCAGAGCGGTCTCATCCCCTTATCCTTTTCCCTCACAAAGGTCGACTCCCATAGCGAGGCTGAGTACCAGGCACTCATTATAGTCCTTGAAATTGCTTCAAACATGAGCTTGCATTGTATGGCCATCTTTGGCGACTCTGAGTTGGTGAAACGACAGCTCAAGGGCGTGTATGACGTAAGATAGGGCAGCCTCAGAGTCTACCACAATACCACCAAGTCCCTAGTGGCACAGCTTTATGAACTCTCCCTCGAGAGCATCTTGTGAAGGTTGAATTCGTAAGCTGATGCCCTCTCAAACTTGGCGCGACCATACAAATTTCATTGAAAGAGCCTCCACCAATATGGATAGCAGAATGGAGGCATATCGAGCTTGTAGATGAGCTTGACTATGATGAGGAACAACATTTATTCCCAGAATGGCTGCTTTACCTATTCGGGGCACAGCTTGCGACTAAAGATGCCTTGGAAGCCCCAAAGAAAGTCGATCGACCCCCTATTTTCGAGCCTGGTAAGAAAGAATTGGAATCGCCAAATCCTTTGATGAAATCATCTTCAGATGCATTTATTTGAAAGAAGCAAATCGAGTGCTTGAAGAGATTCACGTTGGGCTACTATTGGCCATCCATGGTCACAGATTCACTTTCCTATGCAAGAGGTGTCAAATTTGTCAAATACATGCAAGCTTCGCTCCTGAGCCTCTCCATCCCATATGGCATCGTGGCCCTTCTCACAATGGGGCATGGACATTGTGGGACCTGTTGACTCACCATCAGCCTCGAGGCACATCTTCATCCTTGCTGCAATCGACTACTTCTCCAAATGGGTTGAAACAATTCCCCTCAAGCAAGTACCCAGACTCACGGTGGCAAATTTTGTCAGATATCGCATTATCTATCGATTTGGTGTCACTGACTGTATCATTTCAAATAATGGTCCCCGATTCCCCAGTCATTACATAGACCGCCTAATCAATTAGTTTAGTTTCGAGTGGCAGTACTTGACAATGTACCACCCTCGAGCCAATGGCCTCACTGAAGCTTTCAACAATTCCCTCTGCGACGCTTTGCAGAAATCAGTCTCCAAGACAAAGAGAAATTGGCATGAAAAACTCCTTGAAGTCCCTACCATATCACCATGTGTGGTCCGACCGAAGCAACCCCTTTCTCCATGGTCTATGGGAAAGAGGCAATCTTGCCATTGGAGGTTCAACTCTCCTCACTCCATGTAGCCATTCATCATGGCATGACTGAAGAGCAACAAAAGAAGTTTCAATACCAAGAGCTTGATGCCCTTGATGAAAAGAGGCTCAGGGCCCAGCAAAGCCTTGAAATTTGTCAAGGCCGAATGCAGCGAGCCTTTAACAAGCGGTCAAAATTTGGCATAGATCTCTAAACCGTTAACACATTGGTGTGAGATTTGACTTTTTTAGAGATTTGTGCCAAATTTAATGGTGATCCTACACACATGAGTGTGGAAGGGTCTCATAGGATTATTACTCAACTTATAATGTAAAAAAATTAATAAATAAAATACAAGATTTAATTAATTAAACTATATCTCAATTTACTTTTTTACCAAAATACACCTCGAATTATTTTTCTTTGCCCCATTTTATTTTTTACTATGAAAAAGTACCTCAATTTATTTTTTTACCAAAAATCTCCTCAATTTGTTTTGTTTTAAACAAATAATACCGTAAATTATTTTTATTTTCAAAGAAGTACCCCAATTTATTTTTCTCACAAAAATAACTCGATTTATTTTAACTAGCAAAAAGTACATCAATTGATTTTTTTTACCAACAAATTCCTTAAATTATTATTTATTACGAAAAAGTATACCAATTTATTTGTTTACTAAAATATAACTCAAATTATTTTTCTTTATCTCATTTTATTTTTTATTACATAAATTACCCCATTTAATTTTTTTATCAAAAAATAACTCAAATTATTTTTTCTTACCTCATTTAATTTTTTACGAGCAAAAAGTACATCAATTTTATTTTCCAATGGAAGATACCTCAATTTATTTTTGTTATATATATATATATATATATAGGAAAAAGCTGGGATTAGCCCACTAGCTCATATAAACATATGAGCCTAACAGCCCAGATTGAATCAGGCCCGATCTGAGTTTCACGGACGTCCGGTAGTGTTTGAATTTTAATGTTTTTTTTTCTACAAATCCAAATCACTTGAAATTTTAGGAGTGTGTTCAT